GCCAAGGCCGAGCCACCCCTTGGGGTGGCCGAGCCACCTCAGGGTGGCTCGGCATGAGCCGAGCCACCTTGAGGTGGCCGGCCACCTTGAGCTGGCCACACGTGCACACGGGCACGGGCACAGTAACGAGAGCCTATAAATAGGCCAAGGGGTTCTTCATTTCAAAAGGTTGGAAATTTTGGAGAGAGGCGAAGCCCTGCTGGATTGGAGACTCGGAACTTAAAAAAGATTGAAACTTTGGGACTTCGGGGACTCACTCCTTCAGATCTGGTGCTCGGCGATCATCAACGTCAAATAAGGCAGGTGTTCGAGAGGATCAGATCTCAGATCTACGCAGGCATACTCCGGATCTAAGCTTGGTCTTAGATCCCGAGACTTGGACGATTGTTTCCTTGGTGAAACAATCCTCCCCGGCTATTATTTCCTTGGTGAAATAATACCCGTCGTACTGCGTAGATCCGACCGGATCTAGATCTCGCGGTGGTCCACGGCAAACAACCCCGGCGCAGGCAAAGAACCCACCAAGCGAGCGACCGCAAAACAGGAGCTCGCGATTCGTTCGACACAAAAGGAGAAAAGTTGTAATCTTTGTTTATTTTTATTTGATTTTCGTTGTAACCGGATCTTATAAAAAGACCGGATCTTTTGTAACTCAAAAAGTTGTAACTCAAGATGACAATGGAATCAATAGCAAAGAAAGACACGAATTTTCCAGCGAACAACGACGATGAGATATATCACTGGTTTTGATTCTTGTTTCCTCTGAGAAACGAGAATTTGTTTGAGATCTTACTCTTATTGTGCAGCAGAGGTGCTATTGAAATTTTTACTGCACACAACAAGGGTCGGAAGATAAGTTGAACAGGTGTTGTGTGTGAAGCCTGATCGATGGAGAAGATCATCAAGAAGTTGAACCCCGCGGAGGTGTCAACTTTGATTAAGCTGATGAAGTTGTCGACTGGTGAGAGCACGAAAAAACCATCGAAGAAATTGGAGCTTCCGACCATCGATCTGAAGCTTGATGGACCGAGTACTTACCTGAGCTGGTCGCGGCGGGTGAGATACACCCTTGCAGGGAGGAACCTGGAGGGTTACTTGACAGGAGAGGCGACAGAGCCGGATGAGGACTCGGAGAGAAGAGATGAGTGGAAGGCCACTCATATGTTAGTATACATCTGGCTCCTTAACTCTTTGGTCCAGTCGATCGCCGCCACAGTGGATGGCATTGAGAAGGTGAAGGACGTCTGGGAAAAGTTAAGGAGGACCTATGATGGAGTGGGGAATAACCTGAGGGTGTTCCAGATTAAGGGTGAGATCGACGCTACAGTCCAAGGAGATAGGACTGTACAGGAGTATGCCACAAAGCTGGAGCAGCTGTGGCTAGATTATGATCACTTCTCACCTCGGGCCAGCTGCAAGGACCCGGGATGTAAAGAACGGGAGGCCTTTCTACAGGAGAGGACTATGGTGTTTCTCAAAGGATTGACATCAGAGTTCGCTCAGCGAATCGCATTGCTGCTAGCTCAGCCGAAGATTCCCACACTTGAGGAGACTGTCTCTGCTATGATCTAGGAGGAGACTCGCATTCGGCTGCAGGCGGGGACAGGTGGACTTCCTGTGGTGAAGTCAGCACTGACAGCCTCTAGTAACACTGGATTTAGGGGAGAGACCCGACAGTGCTACAACTACGGTGCAGTGGGTCATCTAAGGCATGCTTGCACCAAGCCACCCAAGGAAGGAGATTCGGGTGGACGTGGATAGTTCGGAGGTCGTGGTCATGGCCGTGGGGGTCGACGAGGTGGAAGAGGAGCAGGTAACCGGGCGAATCTGATGGTAGCCGAGGGAGAAGAAGAAGCTGAGGTGGTCTTTACTGAGGAGGATCATGCTCTCCTGGCGATACTCAGGAGGAAATAGAAAGTAGCAAGGGATGGAGACTTGAGGAGTGGGACTGAGGAGGCATCAACTTCGTTCTTCGCTAGAGGCAACACTGCTACCTATGCTCATCCGACCAAAGGTACTGATGACATACTTGCTCTTGCTTCTATGTCTCCCGACAGATCATCAGAATGGATAGTCGACTCCGGTGTGTCTCGACATGTGACAGGTAATGCTAGTGAGTTCTCATCATATACTCACCTAGCATCGCCTGATAGTATTCAAACAGTTGATGGTACATTTCAGCCGGTGGTTGGTAAGGGTACAGTCGATTGTATTGGTTCTGTAACTTTGTCTAATGTTTTGCATGCTCCTTCCTTTTCGGTCAATCTTTTGTCCATTAGTGCTATCATCCTCCAACTAAAATACATTGTTTCTTTTGATATTCCTAAGGTGATTTTCCAGGAGAAGGGGACAGGGCAGAGACTTGGGACTGGCACATGGCGTAGTGGACTGTGGTATCTGGATTGTGAATGGCTGGATTCAGCGTTAGTGTCAATCATGGAGAAATCAGGAGTAGGATCTAAAATAAGTGCTGAGAGTGAGTTAATGCTTCATCACCAGCGTTTGGGACACTCATCCTTTAGTGTTTTAAGTAGATTGTATCTATCTTTATTTGAGAAAGCAAATAAATATAAACTTGTGTGTGATGCATGTGAGTTTGGAAAGCTTACTAGAAGCTCTTATGTTACTTCTGATCATAGAAGTTCTCATGCATTTGACTTGGTACATTCAGATATTTCTGGGCCTTGTTCCACAAGTTTTATGAATGGATATAAGTATTTTGTTACCTTTATTGATTGTTTCTCCCGCGTTACTTGGTTGTACTTGATGAAAAATAAGAGTGAAGTGTTTGGTTACTTTCAAAACTTTCATAGGTATGCTCAGACTCAATACGGTGCTGTGGTGAAGGTATTGAGATCTGATAATAGGACGGAGTATACTAACAAAGCGTTTGGGGAATACTTATCAGCTCAGGGAAGACAACACCAGACTACGTGCCCATACACACCAGCTCAAAATGGAGTAGCGGAAAGAAAGAATAGACATCTTTTAGAGGTTGCTAGAAGTATGATGATCTCCATGAATGTCCCAGAAATATTATGGGGGCAAGCAGTGTTGACCGCAACAGCACTAATCAACAGAATGCCCTCGAGAATGCTGGATTGGAAGTCTCCGTTTAAGTCATTGAAGGGAGATAATGGTGGGCTTCTTCCACTCAAGGTGTTTGGCTGTGTGTGCTTTGTGAAAGACAACAGGCCATCCGTCGGAAAGCTTGCCCCTAGAGCGGTGAAATACATCTTTGTGGGATATTCTGCTACTCAGAAAGGATATGTTTGCTGGAGCCCGGTGGAGAAAATGTTGTTTGTGAGCATGGATGTACACTTTCGAGAACTTGAGCCATATTACACCCGGAAGGTAACTTTATTCGTTGGTAACTCACCTAATACTGAAAATATAAGGCGAGAGGAGGAGAATAGTGAGAGATCGGTGAATGTGGAGAAATCAATTTCTGTAACGATTCCTTGGGAAGAAGAGGAGAACGAGACAAGAGAGGAGAATGAGACAAGAGGTGTTAGGTCTATGGCTCAGGGGGAGCTACTTACCTATAGTAGGAAGCGAAAACAAATTGTGGGAACAGTACCTACAGTGTCACTGGTGCCAAGTCCATTGTCAATGCCTGCCCCGACTTCTGAGACACCTACACCACCACCAGATTCCTCGCAAGGTGATACCATTCCTCTTCCTACTCCTTCCACACCAATGTCTGTACGGAGAACTACTCGTAGTAATGCGGGAAATCCTCCTGATAGATATGGTTGGGATCTTGCCCAGTTTGTAATATTCTAACATCCACCCTGCACATGGAGCATTCATTGCATCACTGGACTCTATTACTATACCTAACAATTGGCAGGTTGCAAAGAAGGACAAATAATGGAAAGCTGCTATGTACGAAGAGCTAGGGGCCCTTGAGAAGAACTGTACTTGGGAGTTAGTAAAACTACCAAAAGGGAAGAGAGCAGTTGGATGCAAGTGGGTCTTCACTGTGAAGCAGAATCCAGACGGACAGGTTGAGCGCTACAAAGCTCGTCTGGTGGCAAAAGGATATAGTCAGACATATGGCATCGACTATGATGAGACTTTTGCACCGGTGGCGAAGATGAGCACTGTTCGGACCTTGATCTCTCTGGCAGTAAATGGTGGATGAAAGCTACACCAATTAGATGTGAAGAATGCATTTCTTCATGGAGATCTGATGGAAGAGGTATACATAAAAATTCTACCAGGATTCGACACAGATCAGACAGTGGGAAAGGTCTGCAGATTAAAGAAGTCTCTATATGGCCTGAAGCAATCTCCACGTGCTTGGTTCGACAGATTTAGGCGGGCTATGATAGGTATGGGATACCGACAGATTAACGCCGATCATACCGTGTTCTTTCGACGAAATGAAGGTCACATCACCATGCTTGCGGTATATGTGGATGATATGATTATTACAGTGGATGATGAGAAGGAGATTGCCCAACTCAAAGTGAGACTGGGTAAGAAATTCGAGGTGAAAGATCTTGCCTTGCTTCGATACTTTCTTGGAATAGAGATAGCTCGAGGAGCGGAGGGGATTGTCCTATCCCAGAGAAAGTATGCACTGGATCTTCTCAAAGAGACAGGGATGTTAGGGTGTAAACCTGCAACTACACCCATCGACCAGAATTTCAAGCTGGGTGCTGAAGCTGGAGAACCAGTTGATCGTGACAGATACCAAAGGCTGGTGGGCATGTTGATCTATCTGAGTCACACACACGTCCCGATATCTCTTTTGCAGTGAGCGTGGTGAGCCGCTACATGCATGATCCGAGGAAGGGTCATATGGACGCTGTGTACCAGATTCTGAGATATTTGAAGAGTGCCCCCGGAAAGGGGCTGATATTCAGAAAGAATGGACATGTGAGCATTGAGGGTTATTGCAACTCTGATTGGGCTAGCTGTGCTGATGACAGGAGGTCCACCTCAGGATACTGCATCTTTATAGGAGGCAACTTAGTCTCGTGGAAGAGCAAGAAGCAGTCAGTGGTGACGAGATCAACAACTGAGGCAGAGTATAGAGCTATGGCCTTAGGAGTTGCTGAGTTGCTATGGTTGAAGAGTATGCTGGTGGAGCTGAAGCTGGATCAAGGAGCTAAGATGAAGTTGTAGTGTGATAACAAGTCAGCTATCAGTATCGCCAACAACCCAGTGCAGCATGATAGAACCAAACACATCGAGATTGATAGGTTCTTCATCAAAGAGAAGTTGGATAGTGGACTACTGGAGCTAAGTCATGTTTCAACTAAAGACCAGGCAGCAGATTGTCTGACTAAAGGACTTAGCTCATTAGATATGATTAGAGGATGTGACAAGATGGGCTTAGTGGATATCTTTCGCCCATCTTGAGGAGGAGTGTTGACATATTAGTAATATATAGGGACTTATTTGTAAGTTGTGTATTGTAGGGGCCTATATAAGCCCAAGTTATCTCAGCAATGAATTAGAGTTTTCATATATTTCAATTGAAACTTTTCGCAAACTATATTTCGCAATAAAGCCCTACGATCCAAATCTGACGTCAAGTTAGATTCATCAAATGCCTTTCCTACTACTTCAATATACAGGATCTTAAGTTTTGTTCATGTTTTCACAAACTCAGTTTACAAAAGTTGATCTTTTTTACCAGCCAGCCTCTCCCACAAAAGAAATATGATCCTACTTCCACAATTAAAGATTATGCATACGGTTATTCAATAATAATTTAACCATATTTTGGCCAATTTCTTATAGTTACAGCTAAGTAATTGATGCAAAAAGATTTAAATTAAATACATGATTGTGCTCAGATCTACTTTCCATAGTAAGTTATCACTACAAGCATTTGACACTTCTTGTTCAACTATAGTAACTTACTATCTACAAGTAATATAGAATAACAGACACAAAATCGAGGATTGGGATTCATCACTCAAGTTATCCCTCCATAATTCTGATTTACAGAGCCCTGCCTTTTTTCCCATCATATATACCCCGCTAATCATGTGCGGATGATGTTCACCACAGCAGGCTAAACTACTCCAGACGTTGTTGTGCCGTATAAACTAATATATATTGATAATAAGCACCACAGCTTCCTAATAACTACTTCAAAATTTTGTGAAATTTACACCGGACATTGACTATAAACTGTTCTTAGTAGTGCGGTATTACCCTTTTAGAGTTTACTATGCGAACTTCCGTAATTGACTGCCCCTCCCCCGCTCCCCCGCCCCATCCACCCACCGGTAGCGTCATTTTGTGAAAGCACCTTATAATTCTGATTGTATTTATCTCTTTATTATATATGGTTGATAGTGAAAGAGTTGCTGCATTGATGTATAAATATGTGTTGTTTGCCATGTTTTTTTTTATAATAACATAAGAAATATCTGAATCTACGGATGTCAATTCTGTGGGTGACTGATCTTCAAATATATATGATTAGGCATCCAAATTGTTCATTCATTCAATGTCCACGGAGTTACAGGCAGCCTCTAATTTTTTTTATGGGTCGACGTTTTGATCAATGATCACTTGCTATTTTTGTTGACTTGGGTAACACATATAATGCAATAGCATTATGGAAACCCTTGAATCCTTTAGGTTTCTTTTGGATTTCCAGCTTCTGAACTTTCTGAACATTGCTCAATATTGTGGGGCCAATAAGTGTTGTAGCTATACATTGTGCAATTTGTTGCCAGGACTAGTTATGCATGACTTCAGCTATTTCTCTCACAGCATATTGATTATCTCAGTGTAATTGGAGGTACTTACTATTTCAGAGTTTGATGAAGGTTCGTGTCCTTCTAAGAAATCAAATTGGAAAATGGAGGGAAATGTACATGTTCAGTTATAAAGAGAGTTGGACTGAAGGAGAAAATTGCAAGAGGAGTTAAATTAAATTAACCATATAAGTTTAATAGGTTAAATTGAACCGACATCTGTATTATCTGTGATCATTACTGGTATAATTCTTCATGTTAAAAGGGAAAGATTTTGTGAAAAATAACCCAATTTTTTTTTCCAGAATGGTAACAAGTCGTTCGAGTTACTATTAGGAAAAATGTGTGGTTAAGAGATTTGGTTATTGATTAGAGCATCTCCAACCATAAAACCCAAAATGGTGTAGTTTTTACACCAAGTTGGTGTAGTTTTTACACCAAATCACTATTCCATCTCCAACCCATTACACCAAATGTTACACCAAAAAGAATATTCCTTTTATTATTCTTATCTTTTAACATTTTTATCTATTTAAAAATTTAACAAATTATATAATTATATACTACATTACATATAATTAATTATAATAATATATTTTATGAATAAAATAAAAATATAAAAATTAAATGCTAAATCAAATTAAAATATTACTTTCATAAATTCAACTAAAGATTACATTTAACATCACAAAAGAAAACATCACACTTGCAAGCAAAAAAATAAAAATAAAATAAATGGTGTAGTTTTTCTTATTTCCTAATTTATTGCAATTAGTGTAATTTTTTTGTGTCCTAATTTTTATGTTGTATTTTTTTTATCTAAATGGTGTAGTTTTTCTTATTTCTTCATTTGATTCTAGTATTATGAAATTTTAAGTGTTTGGATTAAATTATCTATTTTTTTTATTGTTTAATGTTATTTTAATAATTATTTTATACTCTAATTTTATTATAATAGTTAATACAAAATAATATATATTATTAATACAACTATAAAAAACAAAAGAAAAAAATAGCGCTATTGCTACAGTGTTGCGCCATTCTTGGCGCAACACTGTAGCACCCCTCCAAAATAGCGCCCATTTTGGCGCTACGTTGGAGGGGGGAAAAGGGTCCAAACAGCGCCAAAATGAAATTTTGGCGCTGCATTGGAGAAGCTCTTATTGGGCAGAGAACATCATCATGAGTTTTAAATAAATAGAATTATATGCAGTCTGCTTGATTTCCGGGTGACCTTTTTGAATAAATATATGGGAATGTGGTTCATCATTTCTTAGATATCACATTGAGGCATTCTATTGCACATAAGTACTAGGGCAACTTACCACGTTGTCCAACACGTACATGTTTAAATTTTTTTCCTTTTCTTGAATGATACTGTTCTGTTAGAACTTAAATCAGGAATTGGGATAATCTGTGGGATAAATTTTTAAGGTGTTAGTCACATAGAATTGGGAAATGAGATATTTTTTATAGTGTTAGTCAAGTAGAACTTTTGTAGAACTAGAATTGTATTATTTATTTTGTGTGTTAGTCAAGTAGAATTCTACTTGAATTAGAATTGGGATAATTTATCATAATTATCCCACTAATTTTACTACCTATATATATAGCCATAAGTTCCCCTCTCAAAAATTATCCCACACATTGAAAAGAAACAATTGGGGAAAAAAGTGAACGGTGCTTCCGCGATTTTCCTATCCACGAGATCAGGTAAATTAACTTCAATGCTTTGGATTTTAATTTCAAACTTATTCATCTAATTTTGTGTCTTCATACGTATGAATGGACTCATGGTAGGGGGGGGGGAATATATGTGCTTCTACGTATCAATAGTTTTTTTAATAATTTGGTATTTTAATGGTTTGGTATGTATGCTTCCACGAGATCAGGTAGCAATCAATGCTTTGGTATTTTAATGGTTTTCTTTGTCTCTGTGCTTCTACGTATCAATAGTCCAAGCGGCGGTGAAAATATTTTTTTATCAGATCAATGTCCAATTAATTGATAGTCAGTTAATATTTTAAGAATAAAATTAATAGTTTTTGAAATTAATATACAAATTCTCAACTACACCATTTAATCCTTGTAAAAAAACGTGTCATCTTCTCCGACTTCATCAACTCCTCCGGCGCCATCAACGAGATCAGGTAAAATTATAAAATTTTAAATTGTGGCAAGTACTATTGTACATGATTAAGTGAAACTAATATATGGTTAAACAACGATCTAGCGAGGGCATAAGTATATAACTTCAGTGCTTTGGATTTTAAATGAAGTTGATGATCAGGCCTTTCATTTGCTTGTAATTAGATCAAAAAATCGATTCCTTTTTCTAATTAGATCATGGTACACAAGCTTTTATGATTAGGGTTTATATGAAATTAGGGTTTATGTTGCAATAGACAAAAATTTCATAATATCTTGTGTATGATATGCAAGCTTACATGATATGCAAGCTTTTATAATTAGAACATGATACTGCTTAAATATATGATATTAAGCTTCCACCATATTTGCACAACAATCAACTAAGTGCTAATAATACTAGCTGAAATATATTAGCATGATCCATGAAATATATTAGCATGATCCATGAATTTACAACTGTTATGATCAAGTTTATGTTGTTGTTTGTGCAACTTCAAGCTCACTTTGTTAACCATCATGTTTAGTCTGTCATCACCAATATTTTAATCCAATTCCATATTTGAGATTTTGAAAAGTTATTTTTGAATTTGTTATAGGATGGACATAAGATCACAGAGTCAGGATCAAGAAGAAATATTTCGAGGTCTAGAAAGTGAGGGACAAAAAAGAGCAAGGATGGATTATATGACATGGACTGAAGCAGAGGCTAACGAATTGCTTAGACTGTTAGTAGAGGAAGTTAAGAATGGAAATAAGCAAGCAAATGGCAGTTTTAAAAAGTATGTGATTCTGAAGAATGTGATACCCCCTCTAGTTGAAAATTTTGGAAAAGATTTTAGATATAATCATGTAATGAACAAGATAAAGCAATGGAAGAGAAAGATTGCACCTGTAGAGATCCTGATGAAAAATAACTCTGCTTTTGGTTGGGACCCTACCACACAGAAATTTACATGTCCCGACGAAGTGTGGAATGGCATTTTAGAGGTTGGGTTATGTCATGTTTCATATATATTAATTTGAACATAATATTAATTATTTTTATATGTCATGTTTTAGGCACGTCCAAATACTCCAAATCTTAAGGATAAACTTTTCGAGAATTTTGAAGATATATTGATGGTATGCGGAGATCATGGCGCTTCTGGCAAAGGAGCTATAGGTTTAGGTCCTGATGGCTTGGATGAAGCACGCTTAGAGGAAGTGGTTGGGGAGGGCATACTTGGTGCTGATGCTGAGATGGAATCTCCGGATGGAGGAAATGCTACTGTAGATATGCAACATGCTACCACCGTTCCCACTGATAATGTGCCATTATATGGTTCTGGACCATCCACTCTGAATAATGGTAAACGAAGGCGTAGGTCAATTGGTACTGCAGGCACATCCTCTGCATCTTCCCAGTTATCGTTGCAAGAGGTAGGAGAGGGAGTTGTCACTGTAGGTAAAGCTTTTCATGAGTTAGTTGATGAGTTGAGGAAGATAAGAAAAGGTCGGAATAAAGAATGGGTTGATGCTGTTATGTCTACTTCTGAATTGACTAAGCCACAAAAATGGAATATACTCAGTGACAATATCTCACAGGACATGAAGGATGCCTTTATTGACATGGATGCAAAAGACCGCTATGAGTTTCTACATTTTAGGTTGACCGGTGAGATAATGAATGATGGTAAGGATGTGACTCAAGCCAATTCTGATCCAAATGGTGAAGATTATGATTCTGATTTCCTTGGAGATGTTTAGAGGCAGTAATTTAGAAGTTTAGGATATTTATATGTTTTTTAAGATTTGTTATGGTGTTAGGATTGTGTGGAATTTCATATTGTCAAACTATTTTTCATTGAGTAGGTGGAACTTGGGATAATGTCATGTTTTTTTTTAAGATTTGGAAAGTATTTTTAGGATCAATTTCATTTCAATTTGTCAAAACTATTTATTTTTAGGATATTGCTATGCTTTTATTTATTTGTTTATATTATGTTCTTATGTTATTTGACTTGTCAGCTATCTTAGTTTGGTGCATTTAATGGATGAAGTTTCTATTATATGTATCATCCCAACAAATGATTCTTGTATGTGTAGATGAGAGTAGTGCAATATTATGTTTTTTTTTCAACAAATGATTCTTGTATGTGTAGATAAGAGTAGTGCAATATTATGTTTTCTTCTATTTTTCAGTAGTTTGGTGATTAACGATTAGCATACATATCAACATTTTTTAATTGATTGCTACTTTGTTATCAATCTCATTGTGTGCTAATAATAGAGTGCTTTATTTATTTCCTATGCACATAAGTTTCATGTAAATTGATTATATTTCATTGGTTATATTATTTAATAGGATGGAGGAAGATCAAAATTTGCCCATTTTATATTTTCATCACGAAGACTTCGATGATAATCTTTTGATTCACATAATCGAATTAGCTGCTGAGGCTGCAGATCTAATCACAAAGGTATCAGGATTCGAAGTCCTCGATGTGGTATTACAGATCTTGGTCTCACATACTTACAGTCCAAGATGGATAATCATCCTCAAGATTTTCGTAGAATTTACCGTATGTACCCAGATTGCTTCATGAAGTTATGCAATATCTTGAGAGAGCGGGGCCATATACAAGACACATACCACATTAGTGTTGAGGAGATGATTGTTATTTTTCTTCTCACGGTTAGTCAAAATCAACGGTACTCTGTTGCAACTGATCGATTTGGTCGTTCAAAATGGACCATTAGTGTATGTTTCAATAAAGCATTACATGCATTGGTATCTTTAGCATCATGCTTGATGGCATCACCCCCTACTGATCCACCTGATAAGGTTAAATCAGAATCTCGCTTTTGGCCTTATTTCAAGGTAATTATTATTGCTTTAGAATTTACACACACGCAGACACACACACGTGCACACACATGCGTGCGTGCCCCCACACATATCACTTGAGATGGTCTGACACATTGATTATTCAGGACTGTATCGGTGCAATAGATGGGACTCATATACCGTGCATGGTGTATAACATAGATCAGACGCCCTATCGAAATAGACATGGTTTTCTCTCTCAGAACGTCTTGGCAGCTTGCACATTTGATCTCAAATTCATTTATGTCTTAGCTGGGTGGGAGGGTTCTGCTAATGATGCAAGAGTCTTGAAGGATGCAATGAGTAGACCTTATGGACTTCCACTTCCACAGAGTAATAATCTTTACATAGTATTCCATCAATTAAAGAATATTTTTTAGTTTTACAATTTTTTTCTCATTCATATTTATATTCTTGTTTGCAGATAAATTTTATCTAGTTGACTGCGGCTATCCAAATAGGCTACAATTTCTTGCTCCATACCGAGGTCAAAGGTACCATCTTTCAGAGTTCGGCCCAGCTAATAATCGACAACGACCACGAAATTCAAAAGAAGTTTTCAATCATCGGCATGCGTCTCTTAATCAATTAAAGAATATTTTTTAGTTTTATAATATTTTTTCTCATTCATATTTTTATTCTTGTTTGCAGATAAATTTTATCTAGTTGACTGCGGCTATCCAAATAGGCTACAATTTCTTGCTCCATACCGAGGTCAAAGGTACCATCTTTCAGAGTTCGGCCCAGCTAATAATCGACAACGACCACGAAATTCAAAAGAAGTTTTCAATCATCGGCATACGTCTCTTAGAAATTGTGTCGAGCGCATCTTTGGAGTTTTTAAGTCAAGATTCACTATTTTCAAGAGCCAACCTCCAGATTTTCCGTATGCCACACAAATAAAGATGTTTGTTGCATGTGTAGGATTACATAACTTTTTAAGATTGGAGAATACAAATGATGACTTTGACATTTATAATCTTCCACTAGAAGCTCCACGAAATGTTGCTGATGCATATGATGACTCCGATGAAGAAGATGAGTTACAGACTCAACAGACTCAACGAGCAGCTGCGGGAGCTTGGAGAAATTCTATGGCAGAGGCCATGTGGGATGATGGAAGTCGAGTCACTCTAGGAATTTAGATTTTTATTTAGTTGTAAAATATTTTATTATTTGAGATGAATAGTGCTAGCTTTTTTCTTTCTGGATTATGAATATTTGAGCTTTAATTTTTGTTTAAGTATAGCTAAGAGGTGTTAGAATGCTGTTGGAAACGTTGAAACCTGTAGGCATATACTATTGAAAATTTCAAGATTTGAACTATATATGGTGCCAAAAGTGAAGGTTAAAGTGCCAATTCTGTAGTACTGTTAAAAGTACGAGTTTGGGAAATTCTTTTGATAGACAAAAATACCTTTGAAATTCAAATATTAATCCATTAAGTAGGAGTAAGTTGATAAATTAATGAATTCTTATTAGATATATATAGTTTGAAGATAAAAATATAGTTTAAATTTTAAAATGTAAACTTGAATGAAATTATTAAATGCCAAATTTACAAATGTATATAAGATGAAAGGCTTATATGCAAAAACCAAACAAATTAGTAAGACAAATAATATCCACCCCAGAGGTCAAACACTGAACAACGCAGACCTACAAATGTATATAATGTTGACCGAGTATTTGCAAAATCCACCAAACAAATTAAAGAGACAAAATCATTCTGAAAATTATAAAAAAAATTTAAAACAAACGGCTGCGATATGAGGACACAACGCGGCAATCTCTCACCAACTAAAATTCAAGTAGTTCACGGTATTGCATAATTAGTTTCAAAGTTTAATTATACAATTATTATTTAAATAAAACTCTATTTACAATCGTTATCTTCTCACATGCAACATCACATACCAATGTTTATAAGCCAAAAAACTATAGCAATTTCCGTAGCACTTTCATCTCCTTCTACATGTATATACCTTTGTTATTTTCTTCTAATTAGATTATATTAGATTATTTTAAAGTAATTAATTATATTGTATATTTGTGTTTTTTTCATATCAAGAAATATCAATAATTTTTACAGCACTTTCATCTATTTTCTTCATATTAGATTAGATTAGATTATTTTAAAGCAATTAATTATATTGTATGTTTGATCTTTTTTTTAATTAGAATTATAATTATTTTTATAGCACTTTCATCTCCTTCAAAAGGTATGTGCCTTTGTTATTTTCTCTTATTAAATTAAATTAGATTTTTTTTTAAATTATGAATTATGAAATCACAACAATTCTCACATCATTTGCATTTATTTTCTTCTTATTAGATTAGATTAGATTATTTTTAAGTAATTAATTATATTGTATGTTTGATCTTTTTTTTCAGATCACAAAGTTTAATTATACTATTATTATTTAAATAGATATTGTTTGTATAAAAATCAAAAAGAGTCTCACACATATCTTAGATCTCAATGGTAATTGTAATATTTACACATGGGTGTTAGTTAAAATAAATTTCATGTATGGGCTTAACTTATATAATCCTACTTTAACCGGATTAGATAATTTAATTTTTTTAACACCCGAACTCTTTCACAAAACCAAAAGAGAACAGCAATGCTATAACTATATATATCCACAGGACCACAGATATCTTGAAAATGAACAAAGAAAACCACACAAACAAAAACCATGTTAATTACCCACACGCACCCACTATTTTCAAAACCACCTTTCTTCATCTACATCTATTATATATCCACATACCAAATTAAGCCGTTGGAGTTTTCCCTCACCAACTACACCATTGATCAACCCTCTTTTTTTCCTTTGTACTTAAATTGTATAACATTCATTGCGATGAGGACTCACATGGGTCATCCTCCTTCCTTGAACGTCCAACCAAAAAAAATAATGTACTAGGCCTTGTAGCTAGCTAATAAGATCATATCTTTATAAACAAACTAAGTAAATATTAATAATTCTTAACAAAGTACTACGTTCTCATATCTTCCCGTGTGAACTTGTTAGTTGTTTATTCATGCCCCAAGAGATTTTTAAAATTAATCATCTATTTAATAAAAATTTTAAAAATATTTAAATAAATTTTATGTTAAATATAATAATCCATATTTATAGATTTTAACTCAATATGAATATGACTTATATTTTATAGTAAGAAAAAAAATACCACGTGCACTACACATATGTTGTAATAATCCATTTCTTTTTAGATGCAAATTATTTTATTTAGAGGCCTGCATGATGTAGAGATTGGAAAAAAAAGTTTTGTTAAAGGCCCA